CAGATCCCAACTGCCTCTTCTCCCATCGGTAGAACGAGCTGGGCCTTGGAGATAAACCAGCCCGAGTTCGAGCCCTGGCTCCCCTCTCACTGCTAAGTGACCTTGGGCAAGTCATCTCTTCCATGAGCACCAGGGTGCTGCAAAGATGAGGATGATCACAGTGCCTGCGCAGAGGAGGGAGCTCTCCGTGCGTGGTGGAGCCTGGGGTGCACGTGTCCTGCTACCACTGCCCGACTTCTCCCCTGGAGGTCGGCGTGAGCACCCCGGAAGCCAGCAGGGTGGGAGCTACAGCGCCACACGGGGTTGGGAGGGGATGGGCACTGACCTCGGATGTCCCGGGGCAGGAGGGGTGCCCTGCTGGGGCCCGCGCTGCTCTGCCACACGGCGCTGGGGAAGGTGAAGCTCACTTCGGGCACGTGGAGTGTGTTCTCATCTGAGCAGTGAGACCCGAAACAAGAGAATGTTATTGTTTTTAGGGACCACCCAGTGACTCCTAGGAATAAAATTAAATCATGGATAACAAATACAACAATTAAGCACCGACTACATGCCAGGCTCTCGAGTCACCTAGTCTGTGCTCCCCATGGCCTGGGAGGGGATATTTTTATGTGAACTCCTGTCCTTTTGTCCTTTCCTGAGCCCCCCCCGCCACCAGCTTTAGGTTTCTTTGCCCCCCTCCAGCAGCAACTGCGCCCCCTGGCTCCCGGCCGCCCATTGCATGGCTCTTAGCAGGAGCTCAAGAAACTTTGCTGGATGAATTAGCGAATGGGCTCTAGTCCCACGTCTGCGCTGACTCCATCTGACCCTGCACACGTCACTTCCTCTCTCTGAGCCTCAGTTTTCTTCTCTTTCAAACGAGAAGGCTTCAGATATTGGCAAGTGTTGGCAAGGGCGTGGGAGTGTAGGACGGTGCAGCGGCCATGGGAGTCAGCTTGGCAGTTTTTCAAAAACTTAGACACGGAATGACCACGGGACCCAGTGATTCCACTCTCAGATATGTTCCCCCAGAGAACTGAAAACAAGGGTTTAGACAAAAACCTGTGCATGAATATTCATAGCAGCATCATTCACACTAACAACACAAATCATAATCAACTGATAAATGAATAAACAAAATGCGGCATCGCCACACAATAGCATGTTATTCAGCCCTAAAAAGGAGTGAAATCGTACGATCCGCGCTACAGCCTGGATGAACTCGAACACGTGGTGCCGAGTGGACGAGGCCAGACACGAAAGGCCGCGTAGCGTGCAATTCCATCCACACGGAACGGCCAGAACAGGTAAATGCACAGAGACCGAAGTGGACTGTGGCTGCCAGGGGCTGGGGGAGGCAGCAATGAGGACTTACTGCTTAGCGGGCGTGGGGTTTCCTTTTGGGATGACGAAAATGCCCTGGAACTAGATAGTGGCGGTGGACGCACAGCACTGTGAATGTACGTAATGCCATGGCAACGAACGCTTTAAAATAGTGAATTTTGTTATGTGCAGTTTACTTAGTTTTCTTTAAATGAGAGGGTTGGGTTTGAAGGACTCCAGGGCCAGCAGACTCAGGCTGCAGAAGGTCACCCAAGAAACGCACATGAGGGAGGGAGGGCGGCCAGGAGACACAGCCCTCGGCAGTGAACGGCGACTGAACCCCTGCCTCAGCGATGGGGAGACCACGCGTTCACCCGCCCACGCGTTCACCCGCTAGTTGTTGGGCGTCCGCTACGTGTCCGGTACTGCTCTGAGCCCTGGGCGCGAGGGGTGAGCAATGAACAAACCGTCCCTGCACCAGCGGGGCCTACGTGCTGGTGGGGCAGAAAGACAATGGGCTAGGACGAAAGTTCAGCACGTGGCACCTACCACGGGATACGTGCCACGGTCACAGTTCGAGACAGCACAGCCAGGGAGGACCTCGCTGAGAAGAGCCGATAGACCAGTTGGCCTCTGAAGGAGGGAGGGGGAGTCACAGCCGCCAGATCGTCCTCTTGTAAAGAAAAGCCAGACTTTCGCATTTTATGTGCAATCTCACTTTCCACGTTATTTTGAGACGTGGCTCTGGCCAACCCGATGCCAGGAACTGCCAGTTTGCACCCTGTGTCGTGTATGAAGATCCCAAGCTGCTCTGGATAGGAAGTGGCTCCTCGTCAGAGAGAAGAGTTCTTCATTTCAAGGAATCCAATCACTTTTTGGAAAGGTTTTAGAACGTGTTCCATGCTCTCCGAGTGCACCAGGTGGGTAGGATTGGGGAAAGCCCGTCTCCCAAGCAGCCCCAGGACAGGCATGAGAACAAAGCATAAGGAGCACGCATGGGGGCTCGGGCATCGCAGGCCTGGCCTGCCACAGGCAGGGATGTGTGCAGCGCTGGGCAATTTCCACTCACCTCTCTGTGCTTTGTTGAGTGTTCTATAAAATGGGCACCTATTTGATTGGGTTGTTGCGGACAATGAAGCAGACAACACGTATGCGCCTTCCTGGGGCTCGATGGCCTGCTAAGAGCTGGCTCACCCAGAGCTGTCGCTCTTTATGGCACACGCAGACGGGTTACACATCAGGCATGAACGTACACCCAGCAACATTACTGCCCTGACCTGCGAAGGAGCGATCAGGTTGGAACCCCTCCCTCAGCAAACCCCGGGCCTCTGCAAACATGGTAGGTGCAAGATCCTCCAGCGCCTGGGAAGGTGTCAGCACAGACCTGCATGGCCCAAGGCCTGAGAGGGATACCTGGTCTACGCCAGCCACCTGTAGGTCTTCACTGTGCACCTACCAAGTCCGGATGCATTCCTTCTCTAAGCAGAGACAGCCAGGCGGAGCAGGAAGGGCCCTGAAGCTGTTGCTGGCCACGTGGGCGCTGCAGGGTGACCCTGGCATGTCACTTCCACTCTGGGCCACAGTTTGCCCATCTGAACCAGCTGGGCTACAGACCTTGCAGGACCATCTGGCTCAAATATGTTCGGACTTTTCCATCTTGGAAACCACAGCTGAAGAGCTGAAAGCCTCTGCCCCCGCAGGGACTCTCTGTAGAGGCTGTCGAGGGAGGGGCCCAGCCCCTTCATGAAGAGCCTGCAAAGAACTCAGCCCCCCTGACAGGCCAGGAGCTCGGCCGGGTCCCCAGGAGAAAGTGTGCCCCTTCCTTGCCAACCGAGAAAACCAGTTACAGACCACGCACTTCCATTTGGAAAAGCCTGACGTGTTTTGTATGTGGACTGGGCATTAGATGACACGAGGGAATTTTTCTTCATTCTTCTAACTGTGGCATGGAAAACTGTCATCCATTAGAGAAAGCTCTTGAAATATTTATGGATGAAACGACGTGATCTAAGAGGGGGCGTTTCTTGAAACATTTCTGGGAAATCAAACACACAGAAATGTGTAGAGACAGATGAGAAGAGAATGCAGAGGACTGCTCGTGGCCGAGGCCGGGCGACGGGGACATGGGCGGCTGTCGCACTACGCTCTCCACTTCCGAGTATGTTTAGAAACTTCACAATAAGATGCTGAGAAAAGAAAACTTCGTTTTTAATGGGATGTACAAATACATCCCAACAGACTTATCTCCAGAGGAGACATGAACATCACTCTGTAGTGCTGGGGCTGTGGAGGGGGTGGCCCGGGGACTTTAACCTTCTGGGCTCAGCAGGAACACCCGTGTGTCTACTTAGGGCCTGCTGTGGCGCCAGGCCCGCCCTAGCCCTACGGGCCCTGGCCCTACGTTACTGCACTGGCGTCTCTGGGTCCCCTGCCCCCAGGGAGGTGCTGTCATTAACACCTCCACCCAGCAAGGGAATGGGAGCCGGCATGCAAGCTTGCAACCTGCCGCCCAGGAAGAGAAGTGTTGGGAGCCGACCCCGGCACCCAGGCACCCTCTTCAAAGTTCCCACTCCCGACCACTCCGCACCCTCTGCGACTTTTTATGTTTCATAAGCAAGTAACCAAAAACAAACAAACAAATAAAAAAAACCAAAAAAACCCCTGAAAACAAAAAAACCCAAAAAGAAAAAAAAAAACTTAAAGGGTTTTAAAAAGGGTTCAAAGTTTTAAAAAAAAAAAATGTTATCGCAGACTTACTTTGTTCCTATCAGTTACAGTAACCAAGAGTGGAGAAATCACAGATAAATCTGCACTTTGTCATCCAGATCAAAGATTACTGAAAAGCCTTTGAAATCGTGTATATGAATCAGGTTGTGCCAAGGTACACACCCACCAGCAAGGCAGAACGTGGGTGCACACGGCGCTCCCACTGTCCTCGAAGTGGGTGTCAGTAACCCCTAAAACGTGCTTGCCCTTGGGACCCCCAAGAACGTACCCTAATAAAACAAGAAAATGAAAGGACACATGGAGCTCTGGTTCAGAGCGAGGGGTCCGGAGCCACCCCCACCCCGGCTTCAAATCCCAACTCAGCCACTGCTAGCTGTGTGACTTGGGCAAGTTCCTTAACCTCTCTGTGCCTCGGTTTACTCATCTGTGAAATGGGGATAACAGTCATTCCTTACTTCGTAGAACTGGTGTGAGGACAAACAGATTGACACCCATAGGGTACCCAGAGGGGGCCTGGCACATAGTAAGTGCTCAGGAATTGTGAGCTGCTACTGTGTAACCCACAACACAGGCTGGTGCCCTGGGCTATCCGTGGCGAGAACTACCTTGCTTGTCTATATTTTCCAGCAGCAGTTGGTGGACCCCCTTTGAGGGGCACTGACACCCACTGAGCTGCTTGTACACTAGTGACAAGTGGGAAACACACTGATGTCCCACAGCGGGGTCGTGTGCGGTTGCTCACATCGCTGTCCTCCCACAGCAAGGAAGTCACCTCGCAGGGGCTGTTTCTGGAGGGTGGGGTCTACACGTGTTTTTTAATTTATAATTTCAATCTATGTTGCAAAATGTTCACCATGTACATATTCTTGTAATAACCACCGGCACAGGAGGCAGGACTCAGACCCACCTGGAACAAGCCAGGGGCCCAGGGGTGCAGCCTGCAGGAGGGCGGCCTCCTGGGCAGGTTTTAGTCGTCATTTTAGCTCTCCTGGGATGGCAGGCAGGCCAGACGCAAACCGGACACCCCGTAAATAATTCTTCCCATGAAGCCAGTGGCCTTGGCTTACCCACTGCCCTGAGAAACCCTGAAACTCACTCGACCTTGGGGTGGGCAACTGGGAACCGCCCAGACTGTCACACTTGCTCAGGAGGGGCAGAGAGAACCCCACATCCCATTTTCTTTCTTTGATCCTGTACCTGCGTGGAAACTGAGGCTGGGTTTTATCTTGGAGGCCACAGGGACAGCAGAGAGGAAGCTCTTCCCTGACGTCGCTGACAGCTGGAGGAGCGCCAGGGGTGGCTGGCTGTCGGCCACACGCTCCGCTGGGGACAGAAGTGGCTCCCGCGGCTGCAGGGGAGAATCACACCGCAGGGCAGGGCATGAGGACGAGGTGCAAAGAAATGACACCTCAAGTTCCTTGTGAGCTGAAGTCACGCACTGATTAGACAACTCCCGTGTGCCCAGGGCTACAGCATGTGGACGTTGCGGGCAGACTCAACACTCACCTTCTCCTTCAACCCCCAGTGAATGAATGAATGAGTGAATGAATGGTGCACGCCTGGCTGTTTGTCCTCCCTCCCTTTTCTCTTACCAACCCCCGCGGTGGAGGGAGTTCTCACCTAAACCAGCGTGATGGGTAATTGTCTGTGCCACCCTGACTGGGCCACAGGGTGCCCAGATATGTGGTCAAACACATCTCAGGTGTTTAACATTTAAACTCATCCAAACTGAGTATAGCAGGTGGGCCGTGCTAGTGTGGGTGGGCCTCGCCTAATCAGGTGGAGGCCTGCATAGAACAAAGTCGGACCCCACCCCACGGCCTCCAGCTGGGACGTCGGCTCTTTCCTCCCCTCACTCTAGAGCTGAAGCACCAGCTCCTCCCGGGTATCACGTCTGCTGCGCGTGGCATGGTGCTTAACACCTAACAACTCAGCTCTTGCACGAGGTATTCAACAGACACATTTTGGAACAAATGAATGTACCTTTTTTTAAGATAAAATACAAATACTATGTAGGGTAGGCACATTAAAATTTATGAAATCATCTTAAGAAGGAAACTGTATTTCCGGCCAGGCGCGGTGGCTCGTGCCTGTAATCCTAGCACTCTGGAGGCTGAGGCGGGAGGATCATTTGAGGTCAGGAGTTCGAGACCAGCCTGAGCAAGAGCAAGACCCCATCTCTACTAAATACAGAAAAAATTAGCTGGGCATGGTGGTGCGCCTGTAGTCCCAGCTACTCGGGAGGCTGAGGCAGGAGGATCGCTTGAGCCCAAGAGTTTGAGGCTACGGTGACCTGTGATGACACCACTGCACTCCAGTCTGACACTGACACCAGCCTGGGTGACAGAGCTAGACTCTGTCTCAAACAAAACAACACAAAACAAAAAACTGTATTTCCACTGGGATTATAACTACATGAAATATGTACACATGTGGCTTAAGGTTAGGCCGGAGCTTAGAAATGTCATGCAAGAAGGAGGGTGTGGCGTGGGACCCTGTTAAGTCCAGGGCCTCCTGTGTCCACCATGAATTTGTGAAAATCCCTGACCATCCCTCCCTGTCCTCTAACTCCAGCTTCCCCAGCTGCACCTGGGACCAGGCCAGGAGCACCCACTCCAGCGCCCACTCACCAGCTGCCCACTCCAGGGGAGAGAGGGCGACCGCTTCTTCCTGGCCTTCCTCTCCACGGAGTGGTCCCTGCACGGGCCGGTGTGGGACCACCTCCTGTCTGCTGCGCTGGGGTCCGGGGTGGTGCTGGGCTTCAGGTCCCTGGAGTCCAGAGCCACCTCCTCCAGGCGGTGGCAGGAGAAGCAGCCACTGCTGCCCTCCTGGTCCTGTGCTTTGGAGCGCCGGGTGGCTGCGATGAGGGCGATGCTCTTGGTGCCCACGGCCATCTCCTGGAGGGCCTGAGCGCTCAGGGCTGGGCTGCCGGCTTCCCCTGTCAGCCTTGCGGTGCTCAGCTCCGGGCCAGCGGGATATAGCTTGGAGACCAGGCTCTTCAGGCTCAGGGGGCTCTGCTTCTGCAGGAAATTAGCACCGCAGGACCGTCAGATGCCACCAGGCTGTCACCATTGTCCCAGCCTGGGGCCATAGACACAGGCCTGGAGACGACGACTCTAGGCAAGCAGTTTATCGGCAGAGTAAGACTGGCGGGGGTGGAACAGGGCAAGGAGGGGAGTGTGGAGCTGGTTCCCGCCCTGGCAGGGCCACGTAACCTCACGGGGGTGCCCAGGGAGAGCGCGGTGCTTGGCCTCCACAGGGACACAGGGGTCTCCCGAGGCTCCCGTGGGGCAGGGGACATCCTCAGCACGGTGACCGGAGCTGGCGGCTGGATGCATCCAGTACCTGCTCACTTATACTATCATTAGCAATAACGAGCAGTAATAGCTTCTTAATAATAGCTCATAGGAAAGGACCACGATTACTAACTTGTGAACACTTGCAGCTTCCTCCGTCCCGAGCCCACCCATCTGCCAAAGAGGTTCTTGCGTTTGGTTTCCTACCACCTGTTCCTCCCCACTCCAGGAAGGGACAACTTCCTACTGATCTGTACAACAAAGGGACAGACAGAAACAGAGAGGGGAGGTGGAGAGGCTGTTTCGGCTCAGGAATGTGAGTAGGGGACTGGGACAGGGGTTGTCGAATGTCTGGGCCGAGGAGTGGCTCTTTGATGTTCTTCAAGAGAAACAGAGGGAAAGGAATGGGAGTTTTCCTTTGGGTTGTTGGACCATTTTTCCTTGAATTTGGCACCAAGTTAAACCTCCTGGATTCATCATTTACAGGTGAGAAACAGAGGCTCAGAGACATGAAGTAACTTTCCCAAGGTCACACAGCTAGCAAGGGATGGAGGGGATTTGAATCCAGGTGTGGCTGATTCCCGAGCCAAAACTCTTGGCAATCAGACTGTACTGAGCCCCCAAAAGCACGCACATCCCAGAGGAGCTGAAGAGCCAGTGTGAGGCTGCAGGAGCCCAGAAAGTACTTTTCATTCATTCATGTAACCTTCCCAAGTGCCCGAGAAGCAGACGTGTTTCCTCCAAAGCCAGCGCAAGCCGATCATGCCAAGGCCCAGGCAGGTTACGCCCCTTCCCATCTCCTTTTCTCAGTCTGTACGTCGAGGGTAGCAATCCCCCCGTCCCATAGCACCCAGGGAGGAGTCTGCACCGGGGTGGACAGTGTCCCCGCAAAATTCATGTCCACCCAGGACCTCAGAGTGTGACTTACTTGGAAAGAGGGTGTTTGCGGATGTAACTAGTTAAAGATCCAGAGATCAGGCCGGGCGCAGTGGCTCACGCCTGTAATCCTAGCTCTCTGGGAGGCCGAGGTGGGCGATTGTTTGAGCTCAGGAGTTCGAGACCAGCCTGAGCAAGAGCGAGACCCCGTCTCTACTAAAATTAGAAAGAAATTAATCGGCCAACTAAAAATATATAGAAAAAATTAGCCGGGCATGGTGGTACATGCCTGTAGTCCCAGCTACTCGGGAGGCTGGGGCAGTAGGATCACTTGAGCCCAGGAGTCTGAGGTTGCTGTGAGCTAGGCTGACGCCACGGCACTCACTCTAGCCAGGGCAACAGAGTGAGACTCTGTCTCAAAAAAAAAAAAAAAAAAAAAAAAAAATCCAGAGATCAGGTCGTGCTGGGTTTATGGTGGGCCCTAACCCTAATGACCGCTGTCCTCACAGACAGGCACAGGGCACAGAGAGGCACAGAAGTGGCCACGTGACAACAGAGGCAAAGACTGGAGCGATGTGGCCACAAGCCACAGAACCCCCAGGGCCATGAGAAGCTGGATACAAGGAAGGACCTTCCCTGGAGCCCCCCGAGGGGGTGAGGCCCTGCCCACAACTCAGTCTTGGACTCTCAGCCTCCAGGGTGTGCGAGAATGAATTTCTGCTGTTCAAGACGCCCAGACTGTGGTACTTTTTGTGGCAGCCCCAGGAGGCCGACACGGTGACTGAAACACTCAACTTGGTGCCACGCTCAGTGAGCGGTCACTACCATTGTGATGGGTGTTTAAGGAGAGTCCTCCTTCCGGAAGCTTCTCTCCTGCTCTCGCTTGGCCCAGCATGGCTCTGACGGAGACACAATGACCCTGCTGGGGAAGGGGAACCTCTCCAGAGCTCAGGGCTCTGGTCAGCACCACACACCAACCTCATGAACTGGTGGAGTTAGCAGGACGCGGACGGATGGTGGAGGGAGAAGAGATTCTTGCTTTCCCGGTTTCTTCGATGATTTGTACCCGTCACTGCAGATGAGACACAGAGACGTCAGCAGAGCCCACTGCCAGGGCCCCACATCCTTCCTCCAAGCTGGGGCGAGCCTGAGCCTGAGCCTCTGGCTACTGCTTCGGCCACACGAACTGCAGCCCACGTATCAGGTCAGGGCCAGTGGCCTCTGCCATGCTTCTGCGATTTGGGGCCACACTGGGCTCATTCACACTGGTCACCTACCGTGGGCCAGATCCTGTACCTGGAGCCAGGTGTGCAGGGTCTTAGCAGACACGGCCCCTGCCCTCCCACACTACCTCTGAGCAAGGAAGCCAGAAGACACGTGAACACGGCTGCAAGGCGTGACACTTGCGGTGCAGAAAACGGGAGGAAAAGGCAGAGCAGTCTCCAACAGGCTGCAGAGAGACCTGGGAGGCGGGGGCAATAAGGACTGAATCTGGTTTTTGTCCCCAGTCCCTGACACAGACCTCCAATTTCTTTGCTATGCTGATGGTGACTCCTGTGGCCCTGGACAGCTGCAGAAGGGGGCTGTCACCAGAAGGACCAAGCATGTGACTAGAGGGTGGGAACCTCGGGCCAGCCGACCTCTCCAGGGAGGGGAGGAGGGCTGGAGATTGAGTTCCGTCACCTGGCCAATGACATAATCAACCACATCCACGTAATGAAGCCCCAAAACACGTCAGGACACTGAGGCTGGAGTAGCTTCCCAGTTGGTAAACACAGTGATGTCCCAGGAGACTGACAGGCTCTGACCCCCTGGGGTGACAGCTTAGCTGAACCTGAGCTGCAGACACGGCTCCCTAGTGTTGCCTTGGACACGGAGCCACCGCTCTGCCTTGCAGGTTGGAGGCGGTTCAGCCTGCTGTCTGGCCACAGTCCGGGCTGCTGCTGCAGGTGTCGCTCTGACAGAGGCCAGGTGGAAGCCTGTCTCCTCTGTGGGCTGGAGGCTGGAGGCCCCAGCTTGCTCCGTGACCTGCAAGCAGCCCTGTGTCTGAGACCCTTTTTCTCAGAGTGGGGCTGACACCTGCTCGCAGCCTGACCTCAAACCTCCGGCCTCCAGAACCGTGAGACGAAAGTATCTGCTGTTTGAGCCCCAGTGTGTGGTATTTGTTGTGGCAGCCCAAGCTGGGACAGTGGCACAAACTGGCAGACTACTAACTATTAACCCTAGGTTCTGAGTCTGCGGGTGTTCCAGTTACTGGTGTAAGTTTTGGTATATTAGAAAACACCAAAATAAAAGCGAGAGAGAGACGGGGGGACGGAGGGAGAGACAAGGGGGAGATAGGCTTTGAGGTAGGAATAAGTAACTAATATTGAACAAAACTTTTTGAATTTCAAGATTCTGTATGTATCTTGAAAAAGATACACATAGAACAGAAAGGGCATTCCTGGCACCAACTCCCCGGCCTCCTGGCTGGTCCTTGCAGTGAGTGTCTCCTGGAACATGTTTATTGTTCCTCAAACAGCCCTGCAAGGAAGGGGCTGTCAGTCACCCTTTGCCAAGAGGACACGGGCTCTGAGCCGCGCCTGGGCTCTGTGTGTCAGCTGAGCGGCCCGGGGTTCGGGTTCACGTCCGCTGCCGGCCCCCCAACCCCAGGCTCCCTAGCTTGGGGAGGCAGGGCCCAGGGCGGGCAGGGAGGAAGCCCACCCACCTGTCTCTCTCCAGGAGCATCAGAGGCAGCTCAAACCGGGCGCCCCACGGGAGGTCCTTCCTGTCATCCAGCTGGTCTCGGCTGGACTCCTCTGGCGGGGGAGACGTATTCAGAATGGAGCCATCCTGGGACCAGACAGAGGAGCAGAGTGAGGCCAGCAAGGACGTGGGAAGCTGCCATCAAGCAGGTGGTCCCTGAAGGGAACAGGAAGTTCCGCTCCCTTCCTGCCACCACCACGCGAAGGGCACCCCCGGCTCCTTCCCAGTGCCCCACCACGGAGACAGAAAGCAGAAAGGAGGACCCCGGGGACCTGGCACAGCCTTGACCTTAAGCAAAACTGGCACACCAGGGAGACACCTATTGTCGGAGCCCCTCAAAAGCCCACAGGTCCTCGAAAGGTTAAACACAGAACTATCTGTGAGCCAGCGATTCCCCTGCGGGTGCACACCCACGCCCACGGGGATCGAAAGCGGGTCTCACGGAGACACTCGCACGCCGTGTTCATGGCAGCAGCCAGGGGTGGGGGCAGCCCAGCGTCCGCAAACAAAACATGGCCCATCCATGCAATGGAATATTACTCAGCCCTAAAAAGGGTGGAAACCCTGACACCTGCTACAACATGGACGGACCTCGAGGACGTCATGCTGTGTGAAATAAGCCAGTCGCAAAAGGACAAATCCTGCGTGATCCCACTTACGTGAGGTCCCAGCGCAGTCAGACCCGCAGAGACAGAAAGTGGGACGGCGGGTGCCAGGGGCTGGGGGAGGGGGAAGCGGGAGTGGGTGTTTAATGGGGACAGTTTCAGTTTGGGACGATGGAAGGATTCTGAAGGTACAAGGTCTGTGCCTGGGTGGTGGTGATGGTTGCGCAACAACGTGAATGTGAATGTGAATGTGAATGTGAATGTGAATGTGAATGTGAATGTGAATGTGAATGTGAACTCTGCACTTAACAACAGTTAAAATGGTAAATTTTGTCTTATATCTACTTTAGCCCACGCACAAAAATAAAATGAAAAAGAAAATCCTGTGGGTGCAGCTGGCAGCTCAGCAGTGGGTGACACCAGGCCTGGCCAGACCAGGGACTCTCGGGGCCATCCCGTGACATGGCACCCTTTAAATCCATGGTCTTTAAATATGTGTTTGAGGAGCTGAGCTCCTTGGAAGGCAGAAGGGAGGAGGAGGAGAAGGAGGAGGAGGATTCTAGTGTGGGTGCCACCCCCACAGACCCAAGAGACTCCTGTTCACCCCAAACCTGCACATGTCACTCACAGGCCTCAGATCCCCTATCTCCCAGGGCCTGCTGCCACCTTCCAGTGGAGTATCCAGGTGCGACTTCCACCTGCTGTGACCCAAGAAGGGCCCCGGCAGCTACAGTTCTCTCGGCCCCTTCCCAGCCTGGGTCAGGTCTGCTAGCCCTTCGAGCCTGAGCCCACGGCAGGCTGTCCAGCTGGCCAGCCGTGACCCCGCTCTGGCCAGAGGTCAGGCACACTGAGTAGGCCAAGGCTTCGTGTGGGTGATAGAGCCGGTGGGAAGGACCTTTCTGAGCACTTGCCTGTGTCCAGCAAGCAGGGAGGAAACGGAGGGGGAGGGCTGCCTCCCCAGAGCTGCCTCTGAGACAAGAGGGAAGGTAGCTCCCTCGAGAGGTGGTCCCAGGAGGAAACGCGGTGCAGCAGGTGAGACATGGAGGGAAGGATGCTGACAACACGTGCATCAGTGCAGGTTTCCGCTGTGAGCCCCAGGGCTGCGTGGAGCCCACCTCGACAGATAGGCAGGGAGTCGGGGTGTCTCGCCACCCATTTCTGTCAGCCACAGGTTGGCAGCTGCCATGAGTTGGGGGGTAACTCCTGGCTCCTGTGTCCTGCCCCACGGGAGCCAAGAGGACTCACAGCTGGAGCGAGCATGGCACTTACAGGAGGGAATTTACAGGAGGACAGAGAGGCTACGCCGTGGCTGCCCCAGCAACAGCCGACAAGATCTGCACAGGATGAGAGTTCACCAGGGACAGGGACCTGCAGGAGGCGGCGAGAACGATGAGCGCCAGAATCCCACAGGCACGGGGCCCAGGACTTGGGGCTTGGGGAACACCTGTGGCTTCCCATAGTGAGGGCTTAGGGCTCTGCAAGGGGTGATGGAAGCCTTCAAGAAGTGGGTGTGTGTGAGCACTGTGACGGGGCAGGTTTGGGAGGGGACCAAGGAGGACCTGGCTTTGGAGACCTGAGACATGTAATTTCTACTCGAGGCCAAAAAAATGCATTATTCACAGTGAAAGATGTTTGAATTCCATCTAATTAGAAGTCAGTCTTGGCTGGGTACAGTGCACCTGTGATCCTAGCACTCTGGGAGGCCGAGGTGGGAGGGTCGCTTGAGCCCAGGAGTTTGAGGCTGCAGTGAGCTACGATGATGCCACGGCACTCTAGCCTGGGTGACAGAGGAAGACCATGTCTCAAAAAAAAAAAAGAAGAAGAAGAAGTCAATCATGAAGAGACAGATGCTAACACTTGGGCATCTAGACGCTGAGAAGTTCTCAGCACACCTACTGCACTGACAAAGATCAGAAAGTTTAACCCTGGAGAGGGAGGCGGTAGGGATATGGCACATGGTGACGGGCGCGTAGGTAGCGCTGTCCCCATGGAGGGCCATCGGGCAACACGGATGAGAATTCTAAAGAGATTCTCCTGCACCCAGCACATCTACTCATGGGAGTTCGTGCTAGAGATGCACAGGTTTGGGGGCAGATGGCACCTACGGTAGCCACTGCGTGTTGCAGGCAGGACCCGCCGATGGGTGCTAAAATGCGTGCACGAGAGAACGAGGAGACACAGGATGTGTGCAAAGTCTCAAAATATTTCCCCACAAGACACTCATCACGAAGGAAAGCAGTGCAGTGGAGGAGCCTGGAGACGCCACCTCGACCAAGGGGTCAAGGTTAACATCACCCGCACGACGACAAGTCCACATCGTGCACCTCTGGACCAGCACTGAGGACGCAGCTCGCCTCTGCGGTGTTCTTGCCAAAAAACACACGACCTCAACCTAACCATGAGAAAACACCAGACAAACCCCAAACAAGGAACATTCTACAAAGTAACCGGCCCACACTCTTCAAGTGCTAAGGTCGTGGAAGGTAAAGGACTGAGGCACCTGCCAGGTTAGAGGAGATCAAGGAGCTACGACGACTACGTGAAACCTGAGTCCTGAATTGTGCTGTGGACCAGAAAAGGACATCTGTGGGGGAAAAACGCATTATAACAAAAGATACTCCCATCACCCCATCACTCAGGAATTACAAGGGTTTGGGCGAGGATGTGGAGTGACGGGAACTCTCGTTCCCTGCTGGTGGGGGTGCAAAACGGTGCAGCCCCCTCGGAGGACAGCTTGGCAGTTTTTCACCAAACCAAACATGCTCCTGCCCTAACGATCCAGACATCGCTCCCCGGCATTTACCCAAAGGAGCTGAAAATTACGTCCACACAAAAACCTGCACATGCACGTTTATAGTGTCTTTATTCGTAGCCAAATCTCAGAGCGACCGCGATGTCCTCCCGCAGGCGAGTGGATACGCTGTGGTACGTGCGGACAGCGGGATGCCATTCAGCACTAAAAACAGAGCTATCGGCCGTGAAAAGATGCGGAAGAGCCTTAGATGCATTCTACTAAGTGAAAGAAGCCGGACTGAAAAGCTGCGTGCTGCAGGATTCTAACCCCATCACGCTCTGGAAAGGGCTCAACTGTGCAGACGGCACAAGGACCAGTGGTTGTCGGGGGCTCGGGCGAGAGGGGTGAACAGGGAGCACAGAGGATTCTTAGGGCAGAGGAACTGCTCTATTTGGTAACGTCATGGTAGACACGTGACCTTATACATGTGTCTAAACCCACAGAGTGATACCACACCGAGAGTGAACCATACGGTAAACGACGGACTGGAGGTGACGTGATGGGTCCATCCCTATGACAAACGCTCTGCTCTGCCGGGAGATGTTGACAACGGGGAGGCTGTGCTGCGTGGCGGTCGGGGGTCCACGGAAACCCTGTGCCTTCCACTCAATTGTGCTGTGAACCTTAAACTGCTCCAAAAATAAAGTCTATTAAAAAACAAAACAGGCCGGGCGCGGTGGCTCAGGCCTGTAATCCTAGCTCCCTGGGAGGCTGAGGCGGGTGGATTGTTTGAGCTCAGGAGTTCGAAACCAGCCTGAGCAAGAGCGAGACCCCGTCTCTACTAAAAATAGAAAGAAAGTAATCGGACAACTAAAAATACATAGAAAAAATTAGCCGGGCATGGTGGCATGCCTGTAGTCCCAGCTACTCGGGAGGCTGAGGCAGAAGGATTGCTTGAGCCCAGGAGTGTGAGGTTGCTGTGAGCTAGGCTGACGCCACGGCACTCACTCTAGCCAGGGCAACAGAGTGAGACTCTGTCTCAAAAACAAAAAAACAAAAAAACAAAAAATGCAAAACCCAAAACAAGACATGTCTGGCATAGGGTCCTCCAGCTCTGCCCCGGCCGCCCTGTCTGTCTGTGTCCTGACCGAGAGCCATAGCCAGCCTCGACCACCCCGTGACCTGCCAGCTGTGGGGCTTCGCCAGCAGGCTTGAGCCTAAACCTGGCCCTGAGCATTCCCGGGCACTGGAGGTACCTAGGTTGTCATCCAGAACACTGAAAGAGACTGTCCCTGGCCCCGAGCACATTCGTCCAACCCTGGCATAAGCCCCCTGCCCTGCCCCTCACCTCGGACACACCTGGGGGCATCCTGGTCTCTCGCTGTCCACAGCTGCAGCCTCTGTCGGTTCCCCTGATGAATGCTTGGCTGATCTCCCGGCGCCTAGTGCCTCTTCCTTTGACACCCCAACCAGCCCCACCTCAGGACAGTTTGGAGCACTCCCTGGTGGGGACCCCCCTGCTGCCACTTTTAGGGTGACTCCAGCTGGGGTTCGGGGTTCAGTGGGATAGAACATACAGGATGGACGAGAAGGGCGAGCACGGTGGTGACACTTTGCAAGCAGGAGACAGATGTGCAAGTGCCAGCAGACCAACCCCGCGCAGCCATCAAGGCGCAGACCCACCGCGGAGCCTGGTACTTCTGTTCCAGGGGTTGGGGAAGTGGCTTTAGCTGCAGGCAGACCCGTGTCCCCTCCCTCACACTGTACTTCTGGGTGATGGCCCCTGCCCAGGCTGAGATCTGGAGGTTTCATCCCCCTGCTCCCAAGAAGGTGAACAGAGGGTCTGTGGCTGTGGGACACCAGGCCTGGGCCAGGGCACACAGGGTTAGGCGATGGCAGCATTCACACTCACAGCGCAGGTGGAGGCCCCTCGCAGTGCTCTTGCCCTAGCGAGCTCCCAGCTGAGCACCATAGCCCACCCCGCAGAGAACTGACAAGCCCCAGAGGAGAGCCCTAGAACGACATCTTGCTGAGGTTCCCCAGAAGACAACTGTGCGGGCCACCAAGACAAGACCCCCAACTTAGGGAGCTCAGGCTGCTTCTCCAGTGGCTTTCTGTCTCCCACGAGGAGCCCCTGACCATAGCCAAGGATCACGGCATCGTGGAGGCAGAGAGCAAACCCTCCCTGCCACCTGTGAGCAGCACCTGGGCCACCAGGTGCTCCCAGGTGTGCCAGCCTGCATCAAGCCTCCCGGCCAGCCTTGGCCTTCAGGGCCCTGGTGGGGCTCGCCATGTCCCTAAGCCCACCGGCATCCCCCGCTGGGCACGGCCCGTCCTCTGCCTTGGCTTTCTGGCTCAACTGCCTGTTTGTACATTTCCTCTTCTGCTTCAGGCCTGGTGCAAGCGGAGCCCCCCCACAGGCCTGAGCCCAGGGCGCGGAGCTGCGGGTGGCAGGTCAGACTCACCCGGAGGGAGCTGGACATCAGCGAGTGCAGTAGCAGCAAGCGGTTCAGTGTGCCCTCGCCCAGCTCCCGGGCATACAGGCAGTACCGCTTGTCCAGGGCCTCCGGCACCGGGATGCCACCGTCTGTGGGAGCCAGCAGAGAGCAGAGGTTAGAGCAGGGCCGGGGGTGCAGCTCCAACACCACCAAATCCGTGCAATAGCACCACCTGTTCAAAGGCAAATACTCTGACCTGATAGAAGAGGCTTTTGTGGAGAGTGAGGTTTCTATATATTCGCTGTCTTTTTTTCTATTGTGTTCGTGTATTGCCTTTTAATCATAAAACAATGTTGCTTACAATTCTAAAGTATAAATAAAATTTAAGTGAAACGACCACTCCTAGGAGTATACCCCAGAGAACAGAAAACAGGTGTCAATCAAAAACTTACACAGAACGTTCTTAGCATTGTTCACAGGAGCCAAAAGCTGGACACACACCAAATGCCCACGAACAGAAGACTGGGTAAACAAACGCGGTCTAGCCACCCGGTGGAATATTACACCATCGTGAAAAGGAATGAGATTCTGACACATCACGGAAATTCAAAAATATTCTGATGAGTGAAGCCAGATGCAAAAGGTCGTGGGCTGTATGACTCCGTTTACATGAAACGTCCAGAACAGGCACATCTGCAGACAGGGAGCAGACTGGTGGTGGCCGGGGCTGGGACAGGGGGACAAGGAGTGACTGCTCCCTGGGTTTGAGGTGTCTTTATAGACTAGGGGACGTGTTTTAGATCTCAGCAGAGGTGACGGCTGCACAACATTGTGAATGTACTAAATGCACTGAGCTGTTCACTTTGAAATGCTTAAAATGGTGCATTTTATGTCATGTGGTTCTTACCACAATAAAAAGTGTTAAAGTAGGAAATTTGAAGATGGCATAATTTCAGCTCTGGTAAAATTTGACTGCTTATGGGCCAGGACTAAAGAGGGGGTTGGATTATAGGTAACCTGTTTTCTTTTCTAAAACATTGCTTAATGTTGTTATAGTTTTTTAAAAATAAAGTATCTTTTTTTATTATAAAGGAAAGTATGAATACGTGCCCCAAAGGAGAACTCGGTATTCAGTCTAAATAAGTGTTGACTATAAAAACATAATGATGATGATGATGATATCTGAACACAACAAGCCCTTTCAGCCCCAGAATGCTGCACACACTTTCACAGACACATGTGTGAGCACATACACACATGCACATATATGCACACGCCCACACATGCATACATGCACATACACACATGCATACACATGTGTACACACAACGCCCATACACATGCCTATGCACACATGCTGGTGCACACGTATGCGTTCACATGCATACATGCACACACACACGTGCACACACACAGACCAAGGCCTCAGGCCATGCTCTCCTCCCAAGAGGCAGCCTCTCCATCCTTCAGGTCTCGGCTCAAATGTCATTTCTTCCCAGAATCTCCTCTGACCACCACCTTTCAGACAAGGCCAGGCCGGCCCCCCTGATGCTCTCATAACTCTGTTTCCGTTCCAGCTGCCATCCCAGGGCAAAATTATACAGTTCCTCATGTGACCAGCTATTTAGAGACTGTCAGCTCCAGGGGACAGCCGCTGCCCAGCGTGGTGCCGGCTGCATATGCAGCACCTGTCCAACGCCTGGCATTCAGAAAACGTTTGTGGAACTGAAGAATGAATGAATGGACAGACGAGAAGCAGGTGTGGATTCCCTTCCCCCTCCCACTGCATCCAGGTGCCCAAGTTCAGAGGGGACAATGGTCACCAAGGAGGAGACAAAGTGTTGGGCACTGAGGCCAAATCCCAACTCCTTCGTGCCACACCCTGCCGCTTCTCTGAGCTAGTAGCTTCTACAGAGACATAGAAAGGTCAGAGAAACCAAGGAAAGGGGCCTGTGTAACTGCTTCACGCTCGTGGCAACTGTGTGTGTGTGTGTGTGTGTGTGTGTGTGTGTGTGTGTGTGCGCGCGCACATCACGGTGGCCCCCCAACCCCCCTGACCTTGCGCAATCCCCCCCAGGAAAGCATGCGCTTCCCCTGGAAGTTTCCTGCTGCTGACATCAGCAACCCCGGCTCGAGGTGGCCTTCCTGCTGTCGCGTGAGCAGTTGTGGCATCGCCAGTGAATTGAGAAAATACAGGACATCCCGACAGAATGCGGGGGGGCAGGGTGCAGGATGTTCTCTCACTGCGGAGGACGTTAATGCGAATAAGTCTGTAGATTAGTATTGTCAAGGTTGATATCCTGGGGTCATGTAAGAAAACGTCCTTGTTTTTAGAAAATATACCCTAAAGTATTTAAGGGTATCAAAAAAATGCTTTAGGGGAGAGACAGAGAGAGAGAGAGAGAGAAGGGAGAGGGAAATATTACTGCTTGGGAATCCACAGGAATTTTTTGTACAGTACTACTCTTGCAACTTTTCTGTAAGTCTGAAATTATATCAAAATAAAAAGCTAAAAAAGAAAAGAAAACATGGGGCAGGAGCTCTGAGAGAACGAGGAGCGGGAGGAAGAGGTGTGGCTGGCGTGGCCAGGGCTGTCCGCTCCACAGGCTTGGAGACGGGGCACAGGGCAGGAGGGGGCTGCAGGAACACGGGACACACAGACAATGTCCACATTCACCAACAGGGACAGTCAGAAGGTGACAAGGCGGATTTCATCACACTCTCATAAAACAACTCCTAGGGTCCCAAGTGAGTGAAAAGCAAAAGCAAAGGCAAGCCTGGTCGGTGGGTACGGCAGGCTCCTGTTAGTGTAAGGATAACCCCCTTGCACACTCACGCCTTGCACACTGCGCCCAGGAAAGGATGGCAGGGGCTTAGCGCAGGGGCAGGGCCAGGGTCGGGCGGAAAGGAGATGGTGTCCGTGCTATGCAGTTTGGACTGTCCCTGCCGGGCCGCAGGGCTGGGCTCACCCTGGATCAGCTGCCGCTGCTCGTGAATGACCTGCTCGCACAGCAGCCGGTGCTGGTGGTAGCGCTGGATCACGAAGTCCTTCTGGCACAGCAGGTTCTTGCGGCACAGGTTGCTGGCCTGCAGCGCCGTGTTCTCCACCTCCAGCTCGTGGGCCCTGCACAGCAGCCGCAGCACCTCCCGCTGGTCCTCGCTGGTCACCTGCCTGGGCAGCAGGTTCTCCATCTGAGACACCTTGTGCTTGGCGGTGGCCAGGCGCCGCTCCAGCCCCGCCTGGCGGAGAAGCCGAGAGTTCAGGGAAGGTGAGGGGGCTCCGCTGCCCACACCTGCTCTCTCCTGCAGGCCGGGTCTGCAAACTGCAGCAGGGAAACGGGTGGCGGCCAGCTCTGGGGACCTGCTTCCCTCGCCCGTACTAACCACATCTTGTCTTTTCTCAGTTCTGAGGCTTTGACATGGGGACGGCCGGGGGACTGCCCCTCCCAGGCTGAGCCAACTCCTAGACACAAACGACTAGGGCCACCAGCTCACCCATGGCCCATGGACACGCTGTTCATATGCAAACCAGCTAACCTAGAACCCAGGCCCCAGCCGGCCCTCTCCAGGCGCTCACACTCCACCCTCATCACCCAGGGCAGGCGCCAGACACTACGGGCCAGGCCTGGGCCCCGGAGCCCTCCAAAATTACTCGAACCAGCCAATCCTAAACCTGCTTACACCACCCTGCCTGTTCCTTCCCATGGGAATTGCAATAAAGGCTCTTGGCCAACTTCTCCTCTCGCTCGTCCTGCTACAGAAAGTCGGCACTGCCATCTCCACACGGCGCGTCTTCCCGAGCCAGCACCAGGCCTCGCGGAGCATTCTCGGAAAGAGCACGCTACGTCCCCTACGCTACGACCTCTCGTCTAGAACCGGGGGCCTGGTCCTCAACCATGAGGAGCCTAAGATGCAGCAGGCAGCCCTGAGGCCCTGTTCCCCGCCATGGGCCACGGGAGCTCACCACCACCTGTGTCCCCGAAGGCCATGAAGCTCACCACCACGTGGGACACGGCTGGGAGCCCTGGAGAGGCACCTGTGAGCCGCGACCGTGCACTGTACAATCAGTTGGGGCTCTCCAGAGAAACAGCCACTAGGCGAGAGACGCATAGACGCAGATGTGTTTACGTGTCTGTGTGTGTGTGTGTGTGTGTGTGTGTGTGTGTGTACACTCAAAGCCAGCTGACCGCAGATGTTAACCACACCTATGAAACACCTTCACAGCAACACCTGGGTTGGTGTGTGATTGAACCACTGGGCCCTATGTCCAGTCACAGCAAAGTAACCATCACACCGAGTAACTCGATCTCGGCCACAGCAGCCGTGCAAGCCCACCCCCCATCACTGGCCCTAGGTCAGATGACAACACCCAGTGCCGCCAGGAGGAGGGGTCTGGCCACCTTGTTCTTCCTCTGGGGCTGATGGGGTCCCCTTTGGGAGGAGGGGCTCAGCTCCCCTGGGGAGATCCTCCTCTCCTCCCTCAAGGCACTGCTCCCCAGCCCTTGGCCCTTCCGCGGCCTCCCGAGCACCCACACCCATGGCCGCTTCGGGGCCACTGCACTGAACCGTGGACGGTCGCATGTGTCTCTCCCACGCAATTCTGAGCTGAAGGCACAGCGTGTGTCCTTCATCTTTGTGTCTCCAGGGCCGAGCACTGAGCTGGATGTTGAAAACACGGACTTGTTGGGATTAATTGTTAACTAATTAATTAGTTAACAGACGCTTCGTTTGCATGCTACATGGCATATTGATATCTACATTTAGCTCCTGAAGGTCATACTCCCTTGTGGATGCTCTTTACTGGTTTGAGCAAAAGGCGGTTTTCTCATTTTTAAAGGTCAGAGGACTTTTGAAGTGAAATCGCGTCATCTCCAAATTGCTGAGGCAGATGTAATAATGCTGAGAGGTTCCTGGTTTGGCTGCATAGCTTTTAAGTGAAATAAATGCCGCCTGCTTTTAATATCATGACATCAACAGATGCTTTTTGTGCTTGCCTGAAAATACACCTGCAAACATTTAACTAATGGGCTGAAATAGTACCCAGCTTTCTGGCATTTCCCCCAAAGTGTCTGTCACGCGCCAGCTCTGTAATTTTTCTCAAGTGAGACTATTAGATAACTAGCTATTATAAAAATAGCTAGTGCTTCTTGGAAAACAAAAACGCGCCAAGACTTCCTTCTCCAGAGAGGAACCGCAAGTGTGGGCTTCCTTCCGTCCGAGGCCAGACTCAGCAGAGAGCTCAGCGAGAAGCGATGGGGGTCACTTTGCAAACTGGGAGGCGCTCGTGCTACACGGGGTGTTACCACAGGGGGATCGCGGGGAAGCAGAAGGCCTTGCCCTTCTAGATGCCACCAGAGAACAAGGCAGGCAGGGGCCTCCGTGGACACCACAGCACTACTCACGCCCCATTGCCACGGTCACTGAGCCCCCTAGCCCCCTGGCATGGGTGCCACTCCAGTCGAAGGGGCATGGGCCAAGCTCGGCTCCTCCCGCCACTGGGGATCTGGGATAATTTACCTAACCTCTCTGAGCTTCGGTTTTCTCATCTATAAAATGTTTGGGATCGGCCCTGCTGCGTGGGATGAGCTAATGTGCACCAGGGGCCCACTGCTCAGTAGTCAGTGACCGCCAGTGACCCGTCGCTACTGCCTGACCGTGAGAGTGCTCGGCCCGCTCCCCACCTTGAGGGCCGCGGTTTTCCGCTGCTCGGCTAACAGCAGGTTGACCTCCTCTCTGGCCAGAGCCACTTCGTGTGGCTCCGAGGACTCGTCCCCGTCCCCGTCGGCGTCCAGCGGCTCCTCACCCTTCTCTGGCTCTCCCCTGGCCCTGGGGCCATGGTGGGGGGTCTTTTCCCTCTCCCAGCTGTGGGGAAGAAATACAGAGGGTCAGGGTGCAGGCCCCGCCTGGGATGGGAGTCCTGGCGCCTCCGGCCCTGAGCCCCTCCTGGCCCCAGCTGACCTACGTGTACGCACGGGCATGAAAGCAGAGAACTGGGTCTGCTCTATGATCCCTTACATATACATATATATATATTTTTAAAGGCATGACCAAAAACTAGAAGGAAATACAAGGATTGGGAAACGTGTGGCAGGATCAGAGTGAACAAGTGTGGGGCTCTGCCGCTGCCCCAGCCTCCGACCCCAGAACACCCCTGGCCACTGGGTGACCTTGGCATCTCCTACGTAAATGCCCCCCTCTGGCCTCGGTTTCCTCAGCTGTAAGGCTGGGATGACAACTGCCCGTACACCAGGGCTCTCTGAGGATTGGCTGCACTGACGGCCGCCCTAGAGAGAGGGTCCCCAAGGGGCGTGTGGAAGGAGGGCCGAGGCAGCAAGTGCAGACTGACGTCTGGCTGGAAGCGATGAGATGTGAGCATCTCCTTTCACTTAGCACCCCTCTAGCGTCAGGCCTGCGCTGTTCGTGCAATTCTGTTAAGAGAAGCAGGAAGGAAGGAGGAAGCAAAGGGGGAGGAGAAGCGTGGGGAGAACCGGGAGCAGAAGTGCGGGGAGGAAATGGACGTGAGCGCGGCGTTGGGTTTCAGGGTGCCCATGAGTAAGGAGGGCTGGTGTCCCTGTCGTCCCAGTGCAATTGTCAGGAGCACCCCTTTCACCCCAAACACATCCTGGGGTGGCTAAGTGGTACGGTCAGTATCCACCTGTAGTCACTCTGCCCTCAGCAGGTAGGAACAGGAAGTAAATGCGCAATGGAGAAAGAGCCCCGGCCTAGGGATGGGCAAACCCACGTGTCCTCTCCCATAAACGGAGTTGATCCAGCTGACCTGCCAGGGCTGCCTCTGGACATCAGATTGTGAGAAAGAGGTTGAAGGGATCTGGAAGCTTCTCCCACCTGGCCCAGCTTAGCTACAGGGGCAAGAGAGCAGTGGAGGCCTGGGGTCAGAGACCTGCCTGGGAAGAGAGGGTGCCATTGGCCATCATCCCCATGGTGGACCTGCAGGCAGCGGGAGGTGGCTGGACAGCAGCAAAAAGCAATAGCTCCCACCAGTGGCCCTGTCTGCTCCTCACGGCCTCCCCTGCCCTGTTGGGATGGACAGTGCTGGGGTCCTGGTGACACCCAGTGGGCAGGCACACTCACTCCGCAATGGTCAGCAGGTGGCGGGACATGTCGACGTGCAGCTCGATGTTGGTGTTCTCGAGCTCCACCAGGCTGCGCCGCATCTCCATCTGCTCCTTGAAGGCCGCGATGAGCTGGGCTCGGATCTTGTTCATCTGCAGGCGGCTGTCCTCCTCTGCGTCATGCAGGGGAATTGTGACTACAGGCAGGAAAGCAGCTGGCTGCAGCAGGAGCAGTGCCGCCTAAGCCAGGGCTGAACTCCATGCTCACCCACAAAATGCAGTCTGGCCCATGGAGGAGCTCAACACATACGTGTAGGAAAATATGGATGGATGGATGGATGGGAGGGTGGATGAGAGAATGGGTGGGTGGGTGGATGGATGGGAGAATGGATGGATGGATGCATGAATGGATGGTGGATAGATGAGTGAGTGGATGGATGGATGGATGGATGGGTAAGTGGATAGGAGAATGGGGGGGTGGGTGGATGGGTGAATGGATGGGAGAATGGATGGATGGATGCATGAATGGATGGTGGATAGATGAGTGGATGGATGGGTGGGTGGGTAGGTAGGTGGATGGATGGATGGTGGATAGATGAGTGGATAGATGGGTAGGTGGGTGGATGAGAGAATGGGTTGGTGGATGGGTGAAAGGATGGTTGAACTGGTGAATAAATGAATGGATGATTTAGAGGAATTTAAACCCTCTCTTTGCCTGGTTTGGAGTCAGGCTACCTGCATTTGAGTTTCAGGAAGCCAAAGAGGGGTGAGGCTGGGCTAACCACTTCAGCTCAGACCTCACTTTCTCGGAATGCTGCCAAATCCTCACTCTGGGTCCATCTGCCACCTGCCCTCTCTTTCACAGCGCTCTGTGTATCTATACTTAGTTAACATTTTGGGATAAATGTTTCACATCTGTCTTTCCTGTTAGAGTATGAGCTCCACAGAGCAAAACCATTCTTGTCTTTTGGTTTCCTGTTCATTGTGGCCCTGCACATCCTGCAGGCTACCTCCTACCACACACTGTCTCCTTGGGCACCCGCCACATGGGCCCACCAAGCCCATCGGTCCCAGGGCCTTTGCACATGTCATCCCCTCTGCCACAAGGCTCTGAACCCACATCTGTGATGGAGCATCCATTCCTGAGTTACGATGCTGCCTCCTCACACAGGCCCTTCCACGGCAAGCAGCTATGCTACACCCCTACCTGCCCTCCCTTGACCCATCTCCTCCCCAGCACTGTCTCCTGAGATCCCTGCATCCTTGCTTGTTGTCTCCCTCCCATGGGAATGTGTCTTTGTGGGGGCAGAGGCCATCCAGGTCCTACTCCCCTGCCTCCAGCAGGGAGAACCACACCTGCTACTGAGAGGTGCTCGATGAATGTGAGATGCGTGAATATGAGAAGGAGCATGATGCCGATTCCCGACTGTGCGTGTAAGTATGCATATGTACACATTTATGTGTGTATGTGTGATATGCATCTATGTGTGAATGTGTGCATTCATGCACATATGTGCATACACATTTTTATGTGTGCATATGTAAGTATGTACATGTATGCATTTGTGTGAATGTATGTTTGCATGTGTATATGCATACATATTTATGTACATGTGTGTATAAGTATATACACGTACACATTTATGTGTGAAAGTGTTTATTTGTGTATGTATGTGTGTGTTTGTGTGTGTATATGTGTGTACATGTATGCATTTATGTGTGGATGTATTTGTGCATGTATGTGTGTACACATTATGTGTGTGTGTATTTAAAAGGCTGGAAGGAAATAACTAAATGCTGACAGTGGTTATCTCCAAGTTGTGGGAGTACAAATTTGTTCTGTCTTCTCTTTATACTTGGCAGTATTCTCCAAGTTGTGAATGATAATCACATATTACAACTACAATCAGGAAACATTTTTAAACAAGACATATTTACACAGGTAGGAAGGGAAGACACTTTTGTTATAAAAATTCAAATTATACATCAAGAGTTAAAAGTCTTGACCACCTGATCACTTACCACAGGTAACCACCACTCCCCTGTGTGCCCTTCTAAACCTTTGTCTGCATGGTTTTGTACATATAGATGTATCTAGAGAGACACATGGGGTTTTTTGGGGGGTTTTCTATAAATGGTATCAGACCAGAGCTATTATTTTTCCACTTGCTTTTCTCACCCAGTGAAGTGTCTCAGAGGCCGTCTGCCTGCACAGTGGACCCTCCTCGTTCTGGGTAATGGCTGCAGAGCGCAGGGGTGCATCCCAGTCTGCTAATCCCATCCGCCTAGATGGCACTTTGGGCCATTCTGGTCACAAGCCTCCTGGAGCACATGGGTGCCTTTGGAAGAGCGAATTGCTTGGGCACATTAAGTTTTAACAGATGCTGTTCAATTGCCCTCAAAGGAGACATTAATTTACACTCCCAACATTAAGGGGGTTTTGAGGTTTTTTGTTTGTTTTTTCATTTGTTTTATAGACAAGGTCTTGCTGTGTTGCCTAGGCTACAGTGCAGTGTCTCTCAGGCAGACCAGAGCTCACTACAGCCTTGAATTCCTGGCCTCAAGTGATCCTTGTGGCTCAGCCTCCAGGGCAGCTGGGACTATAGGCACGAGCCACAGAGCCCTCCATAATAGTGTTTAAGGGTACCATTTACATGCTTAATTTCATATAATTTTTTTAGCATGTTCTGCTCTATTCTGGCAATTGTATACAATTTTATTATCCATTTAATAAACATTTCCTATTACCTGACATTTTAATTTTAGCCAGTCCAATAAGTGCAAATTGTTTCAATCTGCATCTCTGTTCCTGAATGCATTTGAGAATCGTTTCATGTGTTTATTGGCCTCTAGGAATTCTTCTGCGAATTGCCTTTTCATTGCCTTGCCACTTTTATTTATTTTTTATTTTTTTATTTTTTTTGAGACAGAGTCTCACTGTGTTGCCTGGGCTAGAGTGCTGTGGCGTCAGCCTAGCTCACAGCAACCTCAAACTCCTGGGCTTAAGCGATCCTCCTGCCTCAGCCTCCCGAGTAGCTGGGACTACAGGCATGCGCCACCATGCCCGGCTAATTTTTTCTATATGTTTTTAGTTGTCCAGCTAATTTCTTTCTAATTTTAGTAGAGACGGGGTCTTGCTCTTGCTCAGGCTGGTTTCGAACTCCTGAGCTCAAACAATCCACCCGCCTCGGCCTCCCAGAGAGGTCTTGCCACTTTTAAAAATTGGGCTGCTTGCTCTTTCTTATTGATTTTTTAGAAGTCCTTTATAAGTTATGGTAAAACTTATCTTAATAGACCAAAACACAGGTACATATGTGTGTGTATGTACACACGTCTGATTGGTTTGGCTTTGTTACAGGTATACTTAAGAGTGCCTTTGTAACTCACTGATGAATTTCACAATTTATGGTGAAACTGTGGTAGGCTTTGAGACCTGGGAAGGAGGCCTAAATAAAACTGACTTGCGGGGGAAGGGGAGTGGGAGAAATTGTTTGGTGGGTAAGGCGTTTGGAGAGCCGGAAATGTTCCAGAGCTAGGTAGAGGTGGCGGCTGCACAGCAGAGCAAATGTCTAAATGCCATGGAATTATTCACCTTCATTTGGTTCATTTTCTGCTACAAGTTTCGCCTCAATAAATTTTTTTTTTTTTTTGAGACAGAGTCTCACTCTGTAGCTGGGCTGGAGGGCAGTGGCATCATCACAGCTCACTGCAGCCTCAAACTCCTGGGCTCAAGATCCTCCCGCCTCAGCCTCCCAAAGTGCCAGGATTACAGGCATGAGCCACTGCACCCGGCCCTCAGTGAATTTTTAAAAAGGTGTTAGAAATGCTGGGGACCCTGTACTATATCTGCAACTCTTTTGTAAATCTAAAATTAGTCCAAAATAGGAAGATTGTATTTTAAAAAGTTGATCTGGGAGGAAGAAAAAACAAATAGGAGGGTAAAATGAAAAAGAAGAAGAAAGGCAGAAAAAGACAGTGAAAATGTAGAAAAAAGCAGAGAAAATAATCCAGTCCCCACATTTTACAAGTGAGGAATTAAAGCTGGGGCAGGGACACACTTCAGGTAGTAGCCATGCTGGAACTCAAGCCCGTGGCAGGGTTGCCGAAGCTCAGAGCCACCAACTGCGCACCAAGCCCTCGACAGGGAGGAGCGATCAGGCCAGGATGGTGGCCACAGCGCCCTGGGGAGGACGACAAGGCCCGTGTGCGTCACCAGATCTGCTCTCACCTCTGTCTTGTGTGTCCTGGATGCTGGGGTTGCTTTTCTTCTCCTTCTCCTGCTTCTCGAGTTTTGATTTGAGGTGCTCGATCTCTTTGCGCAGGTGGGAGATGACATCCGTGTACTGTGCTATGCGGTAGGAGACGTTCAGCAGGTTGCGCTTGACCTAGCGGAGCAGGACACCCGGCCAAGGTCAGACCCGGTGGGGACGGCCCCACCGAGGATGGCAGTAATATGCCCAACATGCTTTTGTTCCAAAAACCCAAATCAATGCTTTTCAGCCTTGAAAAAGAAGGAAACTCTACGACAGGGATTAACCCTGAGGACATCGTGCTCAGTGAAATAAGCCAGTCAAATCCTGCGTGATTCCACTTCTACAGGGTCCCTAGAGTCAAACCCACAGAGACAGAAAGTAGAATAGTGGGTCCCAGGGCTGGGAGGGGTGGGGACAGGGTTCAGTTTGGGAAGATGTGGATGGTGACGATGGTTGCATAACAGTGTGAATGTGTTTAACTCAACTGTGCACTTAAGAATGGTTACAATGGTGGGCTGGGCGCGGTAGCTCACACCTGTAATCCTAGCACTCTGGGAGGCTAAGGCGGGCAGATTGTCCTGAGCTCAGGAGTTCGAGACCAGCCTGAGCAAGAGTGAGAGCCCGTCTCTACTAAAAATAGAAAGAAATTGGCCAAACAACTAAAAATAGAAAAAAAATGAGCCAGGCATGGTGGCACGTGCCTGTAGTCCCAGCTACCTGGGACGCTGAGGCAGGAGGATCGCTTGAGCCCAGGAGTTTGAGGTTGCTGTGAGCTAGGCTGACGCCATGGCACTCACCCCAGGCAAGAGAGTGAGACTCTGT